AGAAGTGTTGAAGATGACCTAAGAAGGTTGAAACGTTGTTCTTGTACTTTATTTTAATTAAAGTTTTTAATACCCATACCAGCCGCTCTACTATACAGACTTATCAAAAGATCTTTTTTTATTAATTGTGTAAACAATTAAAATTATATTAATTAAAAAATGTATTTCAGAAAAAAAAATTTTCATAACTAATGTTAAGAATTATTTAATGTTTCTATCCATATATCAAAGAAATAACTTTAAATTTTTCTATAATTAATAATTAGATTTTTGAAGGATGTTTTTTAAAGTATCTTTTTATAAAGATCTTTTAAAACTAATTGTGTTTTTTTTCTTCATATAAAAACCAGGAAAAATTTGACCCTCTCATATTTGTTTTTTAAGTAGGTAATTCAAAATATATTGATTCTTTTTTCTTTTTTTCTAGTTTATGATGTCATACCTTTGATACTTCAGAATAAAGACATCCAAATCCCCACTAAACAAATGTATCGTCTCTTGCAAAAATCTGTGGAGTTCTATGGTTGTTACAGCAGTCAGGAACAAGACATTGATAGTAAGACTGCTAAAAGGTAGGTTTTCAACTTAACAAAAATACATTATTACTTAAGTACATTATTTTAAAGTTCTGTAACAATAAAAAACAAAACAAATTATAACATTTATATATTTTTTGAAAACATTACTCTTTCCTTTTATGTTTAGTTCTGAAAATTATTTATTATGTTTAAATCATTGCAATGATAAAAACGTTTTCCTTCGCTATGCTTGAGCTGAGTGTTTACAAAAACATTTGAGTAGTAGACAAAACTTCAAATAACAGGAGAAAAACATCAGACATAGTAATGTCTGTTGCTTAACAATTTTTTATTGATGAGAAGTGTTAGTGATAGAATATATATGTTTTACACGTCAGCATTAAACACTGTTAATTCTAAAGTTTTCACCATTAACAAAAAAGCTGAGGAGAACTTTATAGTAATATCATTTCTAGATATATCAACTTAAAAATCATCCACATCCCAGACCAAATTGCTGATGTGGTTTCTTGTAGAACTTTAATTTCTTACCTTTCAGTTTCCTTCAGATAAGGAATTGTACAGAGAGATACAAAATCTCTGAAAGTGCTTATTGCAGCTTTACAAAAAGTATCCAAGAAACTACATTGGAATAATAGACATCTTGCCGAATTGAGGAAAAACAAGACAATTGTTCATTCTGTCTATATATTTGATCTAGTTCTGATCTAGGCAGGTGGTTATTATTGTTTTTAATTCCTGGGCTTGAACAGGGTTTACTTTTTTTCTATATCCATTACATCACTAACAGATATACTGATGAACAGACTACAAACATCAAAAGAAACAATTCTGGCTTTATTCGGTATCTCTACATAATTTTTTTTTCTTCAAGCTCCAAAGAGTTTTTTTATATCCAACTTAGGTTTAAAATCAGTTAGATTTAAAAACATATTTTGGGCATTCTGTGCTATTTTGTAAGCAGGAGCATTAGTATAGGAAACAGTGGGTCTAATAGGGATTTGTGAAATGTACAATTGTCTTTTCCTCAATTCTGTTATTACGGAGTTTCACCAAGTACCGACAGTTTCAAGTATCAATTACATAAAACAAGCTAGTACAGCAAGATTAACTGTTTTATACAAAAGACTGAAAATAAAACAATGCTTAGCAACTCAACAACTTAGGTTCAGTATTTGTGAAACGTATGATTGTCTTGTTGTTGTTTTTTTTTTCAATTATGAAATTACGGAGTTTCACCAAGTACTGATAGTTTCAAGTATCAATTATATAGACGTCTTGATTTAAGTTGGGTAAGTATGCATGACATTAGATAATGATAGCCTGCTGCCCTTATAAATTGGAATTATGGCTCAAACAGATAAAAAGTAAAAGTGATTAGACTGGATTGATAATATGTTTAAAACAAAAGTAATGTTTAATTAATGTTGTAAGATGGAAAAATAGACCCAGAAAGTTGATAAGTATGAATAAATAGATGAATATATTATTTTGTATTGGTATTGAGAAATAAAAATTGAATAAAAAATAAGAACAAGACAAATGGACAGCATTTGGAAAAATAGATAATATTTTATATATACAAAGAAAGGTGTGTTTAACCAGTGGATTATAGGAGCAAAATCTGCAGATGGATAAACAGAAGGAAAACAACTACAAAGGTCTGGATTAGATAGAGTATGTAGTATAAGTGGTAATAGAAAAACATTGGAGGTGGACAGGATACGTATCTAGATGTGAGGAATGTTGACTGGGAGGAAAGGTAACAATATGGCAGCTGATTGAGAAAAAGAAAGACCAAGATCTAGTAAGGAGTGACATGGATGAGACAGGTACACGATTGAAAGACATCCAAAGAGAAGCCCAACTAAAGAAAGATAACAGCTGATGAAGAAGAAGATTTTCCTAAATTTTGAAATTTTTCCATGTATTTTGTCCAGAATAATAGTTTTCTTTCGTAAATTTAGGCTTTTATATAAATTTCGAGTTTTGTACATTTCACGTGACTAAACTAATTTTGCAGCTATTTTAATATCCAATGAAGTAGGCCGAAGAATGATTAATACTCGAAACTTTTGGTACTTGGTGAAATTCCATAATTAAATAGAAAAATAAAGACTGTTGTACATTTCAAAAATATTTCATTTGTTACTACCATGATTTGCCCGTAAAGTCATCATCAGGTACAAGCTGAAATAGTTAAATAGCTTGTAAACATATTTATATCTGTTGCATCCTTTCTTTGTTTGGTATATCTACACTCTACTACAACTGTTCCCAAGTCATCTAAATAAGAGTGTACAGTATTCAGTTGAACAATTAAACATGGTTCTGTTGTATCCAGTGTCCCAGATGAAAGTCATCCTTCACATCAAATGATAGGAAGTATGTCAATGGCTACATTTCCCAGGTTTGTTTACACATACGAGCAGTATGGGCATATGTGCCTTTGACATTCTTGATTTATGATGTATGTTAATAACATTTACGAAGGACGTGACCTTGAACGACCTCAGTGGTATTGTTGCAAGTGAGTCCTTATTCCATAACAGTAACAGTTTTTTTTCATATGCTTTCCATTTCTGAATTATTTGCATGCCAATGGACTTCTAAATCACATGGTTTATGTATATATGTGTTGTGTATTATTATTATTATTCAGACACTTTAAATATGTGCATTAAAACTCCAGGAGGACATAGTTCACCCATCTTATCAAAAAAATTCTGATTTATAAAAAGCTGTATAATTTTGTTTTTATTCTAAGTGGACCTAGCACATATGTGAATGTCTGACCACAAGTCTACCTTTAAGTAATGTAATTGGCTTTAAGATATTTTAATACAAAGCTGTATTTAATATATTCTTGGATTATTATAGTGGATCACGATCTGGGGACCTCACCAAAGAAGGATCTATTGAACAGCCATGGACACACTTATTTTCTCTTCTACATGCTGCTGGCCGTAAACTGGGCTGGGAATTAGTCGAGATGTTTGCAGAGTGCTCGGAAACTCCCCACAACAGCGATAGCCTGTGGCAACAGATCATGTCTTTTGTCCTTAGGAGAAATCCTGTCCTCGCTAGCAGTGAGATGAGCGAAGCCACGGCTGGAAGGATAGGACACAGTGTTGATGATACAAATTCCCTTAACAGCAAACAGGTGTCACAAGTTATATTTAGAAAAGTTTGTTTTAATGTATATTTAATTTTTTATATGAGTTGTACGTATTTGTATTCAATTTTAAATGTAGCATTATTGTAACCTTATTGTACTTATACAATTGTCAAGTGTAAAACTACATTTTATGACCTTGAGCTAAGTAACATAGTGAGAACAGAACCCAATGCTTCAAAACATTAATTGAATATTTTTACATTACATGTTTCTTTATCTACATTTTCATCCAATAAATAGGTCAATACTGGGGTAAGGAAACACATTATGCTAATATAATAATAGGCAGAAAACAATGAGTTAAAAGCATCAGGAAAAGTTTTACTGATGGTGGAACATACTACATGTTTCGACAGAACATTGGTCTGTCTTCTTCGGGTATGATCAGTACATGGCAATACAAGTTATATATATCGTTACAAGTACAAAAGACACAGGGATTAAATGTGACAGACATGGAGTCAGCAGATGACAGGATACAAGTAGAGGTCAACTCTGGTCAAGTATATGAACAGTTAATAGACCTTGCCAGATATGGCTGATGTTGCTAGGACCGTATGGTATGTTCCACCATTAATAAAACTTTTCCTTATGCTGATAAATCTTTGTTTGCCTACCTATTATTAAATAGATCAATAGCTCAGAAGACATGCATGATTTAATATCTCAAAATATCTTATACGTATGCCAAAAAACATGACCTGCATCTCATTACAAGCTAGCTTTCCTTTAAAAAAATAGTATTTTAAAGTAGTTTGTATATCTTCTTGTAAACACTAAATGCATTAGGCAACTGTATTTTTTGGTTTACTTAGAAATTATGAGCTGATAATATTTATAGTTGTTGGTCAGGTTTGTTCAAAATGTATGAGGGAACATGAATATTTTAGGCTAGTTTTTCATGTTGCTGTATTAATGTCTACTCTTCATGAGTCTGAATTTAATAATTAATAACATAAGATCTTAGAAAATAACTTCTTTAAAACTGGGTATCAATTTAAACATTAACAAATTAGTCTTATCAAATTAACTGTAGATCCAAGATGTTGTGAACTAAGTAATGTTGTAAGTAAAAATACTATTTCTGTGTTGTGTTTTTGGATGAAAAACGTTTGCAGATCCCGTTTAGATCAAATAAGTTACATGTTGGTGTTAAAGATATATGTAAGGAAAGATTGGTGTTTTTTGGGCTGAGTATTGCCTAGTGGCTAACATGTCCAGGCTGTGAATCCAAGGGTTCATGATTTGTATCCTGTTGCCACACATTTTGGAGCTATGGGTGGACTATAAGAGTGAAAGACAAATCCCACTATTCAGTCAAATAAGAGTAGCCCTAAAATTATCAGTGGTTGATGTTATCTAGTTGCCTTCCTTCTAAGTTCTAAACTGTGCTCAGATGGCTATTTGCATAGTTTTTGTGGAACGTGTGAGTTATATAATGTGAATTTTGGCATTGTTGTTTTCTAACTCAAAATATACTGACAAACTTGTATTTTATGTTCAGGTTTTCTTCTGTACAATTGTACTGTTTCTACATTGTTTGTGTCATTTCGGAGCTCATATCAATCCAACAAGAAACCAAGGTATATATTACTTGTGTGTGTTTGTCTGTTTTGTCTATTTACAAAACATGCAAGTTTTATAACTCATAGATTTGTATTTTAGAAACTTAACCAATCTCTTGCAATTTTACCTAATTTTTGGGGTAATAAACTAAACAAATTCATCTTGGTTAATGCAAGTTTTAATTTTATAATTTTCATTGATGAAAGTTGAAAGTATATCAACCTGGCTTATCACACACATTTAATAGGCTCTAATACTGTTAAGCCTATGCCTCAGTGTTACAGTATCACTATTTAAAATAATTATAATCAAATTTTAAAAGCTCCAGTGAGCTAAACAACCATTAAAGTAAACTTCACAAAAGTTATTTTGACTTTTGTTTTAATGGGCTATATTAATTTTGTGAAATTTCATCATTTTAAAGATATATTTCTTGGATAACTCAATTGGATGAGTCTTGAAATTCCATTAAAATATTCCTAAGAAATCAGTATTTTTTTTTAATGAAAAATGAGGAATTTGGCAATCATTTGATATAAGAGTATTTCGGCAACTACTGTATGCTATAATCAACCGAAAAGGTATGTTATACAACCATCTAATAAATCATGGTTGATACATGCAAGATTGTATATAACATCCAAAAATTTAATTTGAAAAGAACAAAATCTATAGAAGAATGTATAAGATTTATTAAAATAGATTTCATGTAATATGATAAAATTTCATTCAGAGAAAATTATTAGCATTCAAAAATTTGTTTAATTTTGCAATTGAATATAAAAGTACAGTTAAAAAGATGTCTGTTTGATATAGAAATCACACTGCGAAAAAAGAAATAAAAAACACATTTCGAACTGGAAACAATGAAATTTTCAGAATAATGTCATCAAACATAACATATAAACAACCTTAATTTTCTTAGGTCATTTATATTTTGATAAACTTCAATGATTTTACTGTAACACTTGGTTATATCTTCACTGTTTTCAAAATAAAACAGGATTTTTTTAATTTTTACATATTCTTATAATGTCAGTGACTGTGCAGTAAGGTCAAGAGCTTAAATAATGATAAAAATCTGGTTTATATAACCCTCAGTAGGTACAGTGCAGTTAATCCACTTTGTAATTTTGTGCTTGAACACATACAAGCTATAAGCCTTGAGGCTAATACGAACTTCACTTTGTAATTTTGTGCTTGAACACACACAAGCTATAAGCCTTGAGGCTAATACGAACTTCACTTTGTAATTTTGTGCTTGAACACACACAAGCTATAAGTTTTGAGGCTAATACAAACCTCATTTTGTAATTTTGTGCTTGAACACACACAAGCTATAAGCCTTGAGGCTAATACAAACTTCACTTTGTAATTTTGTGTTTGATCACACACAAGCTATAAGTTTTGAGGCTAATACAAACTTCACTTTGTAATTTTGTGCTTGAACACACACAAGCTATAAGCCCTGAGGCTAATACGAACTTCATTTGTAATTTTGTGCTTGATCACACACAAGCTATAAGTCTTGAGGCTAATACGAACTTCAACACTAACAGTTTTAAACTAGACCATCAAGTTTTATGTAAGATAATAAATGTATTTGTCTGCTTTGTTCATTTATAAAATGTCTAAGGTAATCATTTCTTCACAGTTATTTTAATTGTAGGTAAAAACGTACCTTTTATGTCATCACTACCTATGTTTTTTGAATAGGCTCAAATCAAGGAGAGCCTCACTATGTCCTTGTTGAGGGACTTGAACAACACAGGAAAAGCCAAGATACTGAAAGCACGTAAGTATAATTATTTACATCAGAATACTCTTCAGTACGTATATTTACTATTTTATAATTAAAAGTTTCAATTTTAATGCCAAATTCTGAATTGCAGAAAGAAAGATTATTTTTTCAAAGCACTAAAATACTTTGGAATTTTGTTTATCTGGAAAGTTTTATTATTGTTGTCCTTCTACACTAGTATAAAGTAAGCTGTACGACTAGATTGGATGGTCGTTTAAGCATGAAACATGAACTAATTTACACCATAAATTAACACATTTTGTTATAGTTGTCACTATAGAATAACTTTGTTAAACATACGTGTATGTATTGCAAGCTTTAGGGTTTATTAGACGCTTTAAAATTCTTACTTGAAGAATGTTTCATACATTCTCTAATTAGAGATAATAATGAATACTGTTTTCCAGGATAGCACTTTACCTTTAAAGTCTCTCAGCAGAATATAAGTAAATGTTATATATGTGTATTCAAACCAGACATGCTAAGTATTAAGTTGAAGAGTATGCCACACTAAGCTGTAAAATACACACATTTTAGTACTGGTTTGTAAAAGTTAAAACTTTTTCTTATCTGTTTGCAAAAAAATTACATTGCATAAATCAGCATCAGTAATAAGTTATTTTTACTGAAATAAAGATAATGATGTAGAACTGGTTTCTTTTGTCAAAAATTTGTTTGAAACCATATCATATATACCAAGATTTATTTATGTAACAGATGACACTGAGAAAAAAATATTTTAAAATAAAAACACAAACAGCAAGTCTGTGCCACGAGTGCATGTATTGATTGTAAAAGTACAATAAATGACAACATTTTGTGTTCAGAAGTATGTATTTATAGTTAATAATTTTCCTTCCATTTTGATAAACATTTGTTGTTGTTGTATAGGTCTTCATCAAAGAGAAGAAAACTTGGAAATGAGGTAAAATATATTTTGATATTATATATAGTAGCCTTTTCTTTCCTACAGACATACTGTGCTATAATAGATGGTTATGATGATGATGATGATGAGTGTAGGCTGAATATAGTCCAGTAAATTATATTCACAGTGATTCGATCACCTGTGTTGGTGACCTTTTCTTTTGCCTTCTGATAATTGTTGATACCTGTTGTGTATTCAAGCCCATAAGTTGTTAACTGTGTGAGGACCTATAATGTTTTAACATTTTGTACCCTGTCAGTAATTAATAATTGTACTTCACTTATCGTCTTTTAGGTGAATAAAGTACCAGTAATAACACTGAGAAGAAAAGCATCGGCAGATACCAAAATTGCTCTTACCCAGTCGTTCGTGACAGCCTTGAAGTGTTGGGAGCTTCTTCACAGTAACAACTACTTAGAAAAAGGTAATTTGTGTTAAACAAAGCAGCAGACTTTAATAACAGTCACTTTTTTTATTCAACATCTGAATATTAGTATAATTGTGATTAGAACTGTAATGCCACAAGATTTTTAGTAGGAAATTGTTGTCATTTTTTGGTTATTGCCTGTTAAATAAAACCTTTTAGTTAATACTTGCGTGTATTCGGACGTAAAGGGATCTATAAAGAAGTTGAACATGATAAAATGTTAAGTGTGAGCTAGAATAATTTACAAAGGTAACTTTTGATGACAGCAAGCAAAAAATAATGAAAGCTAATTGTATATAACTTGAAGTATATACCATCATAAAATATTTCTCATGAAACTTTGAAGATGACTTGAATGGGCAATGAAGAAAACCTTATTACAAATTTAACATAGTAACAAATGTAAAACATTTCAACAAGGTTTTGTTATTATTGAGTAAAAACATTGTATATTTGTTACTATGCTAAACTTGTAATAAAGTTTTCTTTATTGTCCATTCAAGTCATCTTCAAACTTTGTCTCAACATGGGTTCTGCCTCATCAAATTCGTTAAAATAGCGAGAACTTGTAATGTTTAGAAGGCATTAATTCATCAAGTGGATGATATTATAATCTTAATAATATTTCTTGGAAAATTAAGTTAGTCCTAAATCCACATGCTAAGATAACAATCCAAAATAATCTTTGTATATGTAAAAAAATAAACAATTAATAAACATACACATATATATTGATTTAAACAGTAATATTAATAATAATCTTTACTTACAGAACACACACACCAAAACTAGTTGTTCGTGTTCTGTCAGTTATCTTTTACTTGCAGAAAATTGTATTATCAGTATACACTAAAGGTTATAAAAAATATATATTTTTTTTAGGTAATGAGATACTATGTTCTTTATAATAACAGATAAATCTAAAGTTTGAAGTTTAAAAAAATTATACATTTAATGACTTCATAAAATGTTTCAGAACTTGGTCGTCTTTCAAATCACCTTTGTTTAGACACCTGGCCTTGGTTTCAAGCTCTTAATATTGATTCCTTGATTTATCAGGTAAGTTAATTCAGTACGTATGTAAGTAATGGGGTTACATGTAATAGAATGGTTGATCAAGCAGCCGGTATATAAATATTTGTTTATTCTTTATTGAGTGTCTTTTAATGTAGAAATCTGACACTGTTAATAACAAAATTTAGTGTTGGGATGGTTGCATGCACTAATAACAGAAATTCAGACACTGTCAATAACACAATTAAATGATGTGGGAAGGTTGCATGCACCAATAATGTAGAAACTCTGTCTCTGTTAATAATAAAACTGAATGCTTTGGTTTTGGTATGGTTGCATGCACCAATAATGTAGAAACTCTGTCTCTGTTAATAATGAAACTGAATGCTTTGGTTTTGGTATGGTTGCATGCACCAATAACAGAAACTCGGACACTGTTAATAATAAAGTTAAGTGCTTTGGTTTTGGGATGGTTACATGCACCAATAAGATATATATATACATAAATTAAATTAACATTTTTATAATGGTGTGAGTGCCTTTTAGGTATTTTGAACAAGTAAGAGATATTAGCAATCGATGTGTTCGAAGGAAAACGAAGTTTGATTATAAACAAGATTATGACAC